TATTTTTTAATTGAATGTCTAATTAATGAAAGACACTTTTGACCCTGATTAAAATTCTGATGTAATCCTAATGCAAGGATGATGTCAAGTGACGACCGTCCGATCGAGTCCGTATCCAGTGCACCCGGGTATACCGTATACCCCCACCAAACACACGCGTTATACGCGCTCAATATTTTTCACCTTCACCTTTATAAATTCTGGTTATCCACTCATTTCATACTGGTTATCCACAAGTTGTAAACTAGTTATCCATAAGGTATAAACTGGTTATCCACAAGTTGTAAACTGGTTATCTACAAGGTGTAAACTGGTTATCCACAAGTTGTAAACTGGTTATCCACAAGGCATAAACTGGTTATCCAGAAGGTGTAAACTGGTTATCCAGAGGTAAAGAAGCAAACGACAACCCCCATGATAAACTAAACGACTCCTGCGACTACCGGAATCGCAGGTTACCAACCTGCCCCGGATGCGCCGCCCCGCCGAACACGCCGATTTTTATAAGGTGAGTCCCTTTTCGTGTGTGTGTGAGGAGTGTGTGTGTGAGGAGGTGGTTGGGATCGATTGGCCGGAATTCTTGGGGTTTAATTGAACGCGGTCGGGGGTGCACCGTCGGAATTTGCAGGGTGCCCGCGACTGTGCCGCCCCCCTACCGAACACGGCAAATTTCATAAATATAATTTAATTGAATGAGGGAAAGTTTGCCAAATGATGGAGAACAAAAAATGAATGAGGGGCTGCTAGATAACCAGTGTAAAAAATACGGACAAGGATATCCAAGAAAAATATAAAAGGAAAAAAATGAAATTTGGTTATCCAGTTGTATATAACTGGTTATCCATAATGTGCACACTGATTATCCACTATGTCCATACTGGTTATCCAACAGGTTAATAATGGTTATCCAGTTGTGTGTAACTGGTTATCCATGGTGCCAACACTGGTTATCTATAGTATGTAGCTGGTTATACATAGTGTGCACACTGGTTATCCCATATTCAATTTGAATGAATTCAGAAATTTATATATGCCGCGTTTAAAAAAAAAAGGATGAATTATCTAGCAAAGTCACACTATTCTAAAAGAGTAAAGTACACGCACAAGGGGGTACACGGTATCCCGGGGTGTACCAGATAATTAATATTAGCTTATAGAAAAAACTGAAATAGTTCATCGAAATTGATTACTTTTTGGGACGAAATGAGCTCTTCATCACCTTGGAACATGCATGAGCTTGAATCAATAGCCAATGGTGAGTAGATAGGATCATAATTTAGAGACATTTCCAATGGAGGCAAAGTATCAAAAGCAGGCTCTCGCTGATGAAAGGGGAAATCAAATAATTGGGGATCCAAAGGAGAACCGTGCCTTAAATATTCACCACTAAGAAATTTTTGAAATTAGTTTAACTGATCAATAAAAGAATTCGGGGAAGAAAAGAGCACACTAAATAAAAAGTTAGGCTAAAAGCATGATTTGTATCTAAATACCTGAAATCGGGAGAGGTTAGTTGGGTTGGAAATGAGAATGACTCAAACAAGGCAGAATCATCTTCTTTGTTCATTACTTCATGATTTGACCAGCTAGCTTCAATGGACTGATTTCCTATCTTTAAGAACGGAAAAATTGGTAGATCTACCCAAAACTTTACATGCGTCGTCAATTTTACTCTATTCTTTTTCGGTTAGTCAATATTACTCTAAGCTATCCAACCGTTAGCCGATTTTGTCTAATTTGTCAATTTTCGTTTAAATTAACAGATTCTGTTAGTTTTAATTACAAAAAATATCCTAATAGTTTTAAAAATTATAAAAATAACCCCAAAAATTTGTAAAAATTATCAAACAGTCTTTTTTCACTTTTTATTTAATTTTTTCACTTTTTCACTTTAGCTAATCGAAAAAGAATGGGGTAGAATTGATAACGTTGTCAACCTTTGAGTAGATCGGCCAATTTTTCGGTTGATTTTTACTGTTACAGCCTGTCAATGACTGCCATTCCAAAAGAAATGCGAGACGGAAAAATCCTGGTGCTCTACAGTTTCCACGTATGCATGAGTTAATTACACCGTTACCCCTTTCTCTCTCACACACACGTCACCGAAATTCAAAATCTTGTACTATGGCGATGAACTCCATTTGTTTCTCTTCATTTCCCAACTAGCACAGGCGCTACACATCCGATTTTGATGGTCCAGAAACCTCACCCGCCTAGACTCACAGAAAAGGTGTTGCGTTTTGTTTTTGTAGGTTAGTGCACATAAAAGTTTCTCTGGTCATGTGTATACATTAAAACCAATTTTGTAGCAATTCAAAAAAAATTTCACTCCTCTCGCAGCTCTTCCTCTCATAGCTCATCATTCCCGCCTTGTTTTCCTTGCCTCGTAAGTAAAAAAATCGTAATCAGGTTCTTTCTTCCTTTTTTTTTTAGAGAATACTATAAAATAGTGTATTAGAAGTGTAAAAAAAAAAATGCTTGTTGGGGAATACATTTAATATTAAAAAAATACGTGAAAATAATCTGAAAAATCTAGTAAAAAACAATCCTTACCCGTATTATCATTTTGTGAGATACAATTAACTGTATACAAGTAGTAACTCTTTATCTATATATTGCATGTTTACTTAGTCCAAAAATAGTACTACCAGTTAAACAGACCAAATTAGATATTCTAATTCCGGATGCCATTGGACTCGTAAAATAATACTTCCTCCATTCACAAATAGATGTCACCGGAGAGATTTCACAAAGTTTAAGGAGGCAATAAATATCTTGTTAAAATACTATAATATCCTCATTTATTCTTAATTCAATTGTAGTCCCAATAAAATTTAATTCTAATACAATTCTACATTAAACATCACTACAATTTTCAATGTAAGGGTAATATTGGAAAAAAATTAACAAAATATGCCTCAATTTGTGAGAATGACATCTATTTTGGAATATTTGGTTTTTCCTCCAACGACATCTATTTGTGAATGGAGGGAGTACTACATTAATATTGATGTTGCTATTTTCTTAGCATACGTATTCAAGAACAAGTTCAAACTTCATTATACAGAATCTAAAAAACAAACAAATTGTAATATTACAAGGCTTCTATTGCCAAAAGGCAAAAAAGACAATAAAATGAGTGATGCCTATTTTATTTTTTTCATAGTTTTTATTTTTTGAAAATCAAGAAAACTAGGAACAGAAAGGCGAATGGAAAAAATTAAATAAAAAGTGAAAAAAGACTGTTAGGTTATTTTTATAAATTTTTGGAGTTATTTTTATAATTTTTAAAATTATTAGGGTATTTTTGTAGTTAAAACTAACGAAATTCCGTTAATTTAAACGGAAATTGGCAAATTTGACAAAATCGGCTAACGGTTGGATAGCTTAGGATAATATTGGCTAACTGAAAAAGAATAGGGTAAAATTGACAACGCATGTCAACCTTTGGATAGATGAGCCAATTTTTTCTGGTAAAATGGGTAGAAACTAGAAAATGGAGCAAATGGCTAAAAATTTCAACTCGTTTTGAGGGTTTCTGGAGCCCTTAATGATAATGAACTGACTTTTAAGCTACCCAAAAAGATGGTGCATGATTTATAGTTGAGGAATCGGAGGAGTCATTTGTGAATCGGTGGATGGTTTTCCAATCTGATCAATGTGAATATTTTGATGCAATTATAAGAATTTACTGCATTGGAGGTCGTGCCTTCACCATGAAATGAATTAATTGTAAGCATTCAACTCATGCAGGTATTTGGTGTATTAAATTCTTGTGGTGAGGATAAATGGATAATTATCAGCAGCACTTAGCTGTAGATTAATTATGCATCTGCTTATTTAGTTCTGTTTTCAGTTCCATACTTCCCATTATCAGATTTTTAAAATTGCTATTAATTACATTACATAGATACATTATGATTATTGGTTTATTAGCCCATACATTACATAGATACATGTTCCAAAAAAAAAAAAAAAAAACCCCTTGATCAAAATTATATATTTTTTTCATGGATAAGTTACCATTCCACCCGACCCTACCTTGATGCCTTATTCCAATTGTTTTTAGGCAACAAACAATTCTATTAAGTCCTGAAATCTGTAAAATTATTTTATATGTCGCAAAATTATGCTCCTCTTTAAAGTATTTATGCTATCGTCAAACATACGAGTATTCATCGGTCTAAATAATTATGAATATACTTTCGAAGTACCTTAGTGGCAAGTTTAGAAATTGTAGTAATTATAAAAATATCACTGAGAAGAACATCAACGAGCCGAGAACTAAATCCATCATTTATGGAGGATCTTCACTGGCAAGGGACAACAAATACTTCTTCTGTCCCAAAATTATTGTCCACTTTGAAATTTCACTTTTAGTACAATTTGAACTAAAAATGAAAATCCAAACTGGACAATAATTATGAGACGGAGGGAGTACAATTCACTGAGGTCACCGCTTCCCGAAATATGGTAAGCGAGAGTAATTTGATTTGCAATTGATCCGATGATGAATTGCTCTCATGTGTTCTTATTAATACACTAATCTCGTCGGACTCAGTCCGTCAAAACACGAAAAAGTTGCCAGCTGCATTTCACAATGCGCTGCTCCCAAGTCTGGTCTATTAAAGGTTATGAAGTTGGCAATTCTACTTATTAAACTTTGATAACTAATCCTGCATTTCGTTCTAGTATTTCTATTCACTCAGCTTTGAGTTTTCTGAAACTACAAAAGGACCAAAACAAAAGGTTCATGCGCACTCTTCAAAACAAAAATACTAAAACTCGCAAACACCGGAAAAACCAAAAACCCATAACACAAAATGTACCCAATTCAAAAAAGGGCGTCACGTGTTCTAATTGAAAATTGTTCAGATTTCATAGCATCATCTCATTATGCGTACAGAAAAGATGCCCAATCTTTTTCTCTATGGCCGCACTTTCAAATAACAGCGTAAGCAAAAACAAAGAACTTCAGCTACCTACCACCCTACTTTCCGCTAGTTTCTTGACTTGCCACCCTTCCAGTGCCCGCCACGGCCACTTCCTCCTTTGGCACCCCCACCACCTCTGCCACCTCTTCCACCCCGGCCACCACCAAGTGCCTTGTTAACATCGTTCTTTACTTGCATGTTCTCTGGCAAAGGACTGATATGATCAACACACTTCCGGAAGCTGAAATCATCCTCAGAATCATCCTCCCTGATCAAAAAGAAACACCGACTTTTGTACTTCGGATGGTATCTCACTTGGAATGTGCGAATTCCATCACCAATCTTTCTGTCTGGTTCTAGATGGCCCTTCTTGAGCAACTCCAGCAACATCACACACTCATACTGTAAAATACAACACAAGGTAAATATCTAACCGTGATTCAGCACAAATGACTCGTAAAAGATGGCTTTCTATCACTATCTTCTCCAACCACACACATAATAATCTTCAGACCTTTAATTTTGCGTGAATAACAGAGTACAGCAACAGATAGATTCTGAATCTAAAAATTCAATCGACAATAACTCCCTCCAAGCCCAATGTTCCAAAACGAGAAGAAAGTCAGACAAATAGAAACTTAAAATACATCAGAATGATGAATACAGTAACCATCGTCTTCAACAACACAAACGATAATTTTGAAATATTAACTAAATGCTTACAACAGATTAGAATAGATTGCTTTCTGAAATTGAAATCCAAATTAATCTCTCCAAGCCTCCAAAAAATGCTCACAAAAATGACCCTTACCTGTTTCCATACTTGTGAAGCCATGCGAACCAAGTCAAAAGCTCAATGCCAATGTAAAAGTTAGGTAAAAGACAGATCAACAAGAAAATCAACATGATCAACAAGAAAAACAACATGATCCACATGAACATTATTTCATCCTTAAGATAATTTCAAATGGTATCTACCTATGTTCAAATTCGCAATCTGCAATTCCTATACATACCAAGCTCATAACCTTAGCTCAAAGGCAATTCTTCCAGGAATACCCAAAGTACAAAAGCATACTATGAGCCACACCAGTTAAATGACACAACCAAGCACAGAGCAATGTTATAACTTTACGCTTCTATATGGTAAAGGGATAATAACCTTCATCCAATAGAACCACCTTCTAAAGTTCTCCAGGAAAATCATGTATGGGAATAATACAATCAACTGCCACTATTGAATCAAATTCACTTTTCCATCAAATAATTCATCCAAAATATAACTAACAATCTTTCATTGGCAAGATCTAATTCCAAAACAACAATAATCCCCATAAAGGATGCAAACTATTTTCACGAATTTCAAATCATAAAATCAATTAAACGCCTTGCTTAATCCCAGAAAGAGTCGTCTTGATCATAAAAGATTCCCATTAAGTTCAATGCATAAATACTACCCCATCCCACATTCATCCTCTGTTAAAGATGCCCACTTTAAGAACCTAAAAATAACACAAGAAAAACACAACACTGGCGTAATCCAACACATTGACTCACCTTATTGACATTAACATTGGGGGTCCAGAAATGCAGAAACTTGTAGAAATAATCAAACATCTCCACCGAAGTTCCGAACTTTTTCGGCCCCAAATCGATGGGACCCGAGTTTTCTACCTCGCCTTCCTCGGTTGCCTTCTCAAGCCGCTCCTCTTCAACGGATTTATCAGACTTTAGCTTCTTCGATTCTTCATTGTTTTCTCCATTCCGGGCCCCTTCTTCTTCTTCCTCTCTGGGGCGCTTTAAGCCGGGGGCTTGAGCCGCTTTATCATCAGCCTGAAGCTCTAATTCCATATCTTCAGTGGAGCCTTCTTTAATCTCCGGCACGGTCGGGGTTTTGGCGGTGGTTGTTTCGGCCATGGTGGAGGGAGGAGGAAGTGAGAGCAGAGGAGGTTTTGAGCGCGGTGGAAATATTAATCGAAAAGTATCAAAACTCGAACCCTAAAGCCCTCAATGAGGGGGGTGATAACTTTTGAATTTGTTTTTTTTTTTTAATGGCAATATTAAAGGTATTATTACAATATTTTTTTTATCTTTTTAATAATGAGAATGAGAATATAATAGTAGTTTCTAAATTCCTTTTTTTTCAAAGTTTTCCTTTTGGAAGAATACTTTCCAAATTCTATATTGTAACAACATAAAGCCATAAGCTGCTTAAGTTACTAAATACTAGTAAATTATAAAAAGGTTCTTTTTTTTTTTTTGGGGGTATATAAAGGAATCAAGTTGCCTAGATATTTAAACCAAAATAGATCACAGATAAGACACATCAATAACACCCTATTTTTACCATGTTTAATGACAAGCCGTGAAATTTCTTTTCCTGAGCCGCTAATAACTAGAGATGCTATATAATTTGTCACAGAAAATCAGTTAGTGATCAGATTTTGTTGCATGAACTTTTCATTTTGTAGAGTGTACAGATTAGATTATGGCAAGATGTTATAGTGTCTCGTTTTGGTTGTAAATATGCACTTCAGTGAGTTGAGCTTTAATATATTTTACATTTTACCAAAAAAACATTCATCTCACATGCATATTGTCATATGTATATGAATTCAAGATTTTCAAATTGTGATTTTAGAATACTCATTGTTATTAATTTTTTTAAAAACTTCTGTCAATAAATTTTAATTTGAACTATAACATTTTTTTTTATTTTTTCCCATGTCGCAGACTAAACCGTCCGTAAAATTGTGATGTAGCGTCTTACATCTTCACGTAGGAAAATGCAAGTACGGCATTGAATAAATTTGAAAACAATACAATGTTTGATTATGTAGAAGATAAAAATAGAAGTTTCTTTTAAAAAGTGAAGAATTTTTCAAACAATATCCTTCAAATGTACCTATTTTCCATAATACTCTCTAGGATCTCCAACGCATGTTGATATAGGTTTGTAAGTTTTCTTTTTTCCTTTTTTTTTTTTTAAAAAAAAGAAGAATCTATTTGACGTTTCCTAAATAATCAGATGGTAAACGGAATAAAAATTGCAACAACTTGAATGTAATGAAATGCTCAACTGTTATCCCTACTTTTCTATTAAATTTAGAGATTTTATTTTACAAATTTTCTTCTTCTTTTTTGTTTTATTTTTTTGGTTTTATATTTTTATTTTAATATTTTTGTTTGCCTTTTCAATTCTAATTCAATGAAGGAACGTACGAAAGAATTATCAAAACAAAAGGATAAAAGTGCACATCTTTCTGGATTCTTATTAACTAATTTAGATTTATTATTCTGACTAGTTTATGCCCGTGCAGTTTGCACGGATTCACGAGTTTATCTTGTTTAAAGATTAGTGGAATAATACTTTACAATCATGTCACTTCCAATGTTGCGATGATACTTCAAGATTCCAAACATACAAAATATGGTGAAGAAGTTTGGGACACAGAAATAAAAATAAAATAAAATTGCTAAGATTTATGAATAGTTATATTTCCAGGAGCACTTATTGTGCCGACGTTCTTTGTCCGATTGTTGAATCCTGTTTATTTGTTGCATATGAGTATTTTGAGATCTTATCTAAATTTTATTGTAAAAATTATGACCTAAACATATCCATGAGCAAAGTCACGATGTTACAAAAATTGGATCTAATTACATGAGCAATTGTCTCTAATTATTAACAATTGAAAATTTTCTCCTCCTCAGCCTAACTGGCATGTGATATAACTTGTAGATTACATTTAGAGTTGACCAAAAAATCCCAAACACCTAAACTGCCTATCTAATTTGGGCTTGAACACTTGAGCTATTCCTAGTCTCTATGCATATACTCCATATATTAAGACCATCATACATGCATATGGAATGCCAATTCTACAATTCGGTGTGCAGTAAAATATCTATATACTTTTCTATATCTTTCACTTCCAATGAGTCACCTTTTTTCTAATCACCTTTCATACTTCATGTGGGAACGATCTCATAAGTTCAAGCTCATCTTTTATAGTGTTCCGTCCAACAGGTCCAATTCCAAATAACTGATACGGGGAAGCCCACCAATAACCAAGCCCACCCATGGACCCCCTCTCTTCCGGAAAGCCACCTGATCCATCACAGGCTTTCTATCTGAAGCCCAAACTCAAAATTCAATTTTTAAAAACACTCATTTATACCCTTATTACAATTACTCTTACTGACTTAAGTATCGGAGTGTCTACCATCAGGAGACATCGAGGCCCTCTTTTGCAGGTTTTACGATTTTTGGTTCCGCCATGGCAGCCGGACCAGCCAACCAGAGACGTTGGTGTAGATTCATGTTTCGTCAAGTGGCATGCCCAATGGGACCAAATTGGGATCTTCTCCTTCAACAAATTATCTTGTGACGAATGGGGAGATGGGATCAAAAGTCTTCTTTCAATTCTTGATGGCGGAGGACAGAGCATGTCCATCATCTTAATACGCCACAAGTTGAGTTCCGATAACAGCTCGACGGTCTCCTTCAGTCTGGGGATAACCAAAGGTGGTAAACACCAATCAGGCGATTGATGTGTAGGTTCTTGGTTATTTAATTTGCCTCAAATTCTATTATTTCGGCTGCATACTTGAACTTATGTCACAATTTACTTGAAAACCCAATTTGCTCCCTAAATTCTGCGGGGTAGGATGCATATAACATAATATCCATTGGGATTTGGATTGATAACCATAATTTTTTAAAAATTATTTTAAAAAGATCATTTTAAAAAATAATTCCTCAATGCAAAGGCATAAAACTGATTTCTCAATGCAAAGACAATTCCTCAAAGCAGATGATCTGATTATCTTCTGCAAAGCGGATGTATATATAGTTGGGAGAGTAGTAGAGGTACTGAAAAAGTTTTCGAATACAACAGGGCTAGTTGCAAATGCTGCCAAGTCGGAGATGTTCTTTGGTGGAGTCCCAGAGGAATTGAAACAACAACTGTGTACACTTACATGTTTTAAGGCTAGATCTTTCCCAATGAAATATCTGGGAGTCCCTATCTCTCCTAGAAAATGGACTAAAATGGGACTGTGAGGTGCTGGTTCAAGAGATTGCGGTTAGAATCAAATACTGGCTTTCAGGACATCTCAGATACTCAAGCAGACTGCAACTGGTGAATTCAGTCATGATGGCAATGTCCACCTATTGGGCTACAATATTATTCTACCACACAGTGTCACTCAACAAATAAATAGGATGTGCAGGTGCTTCCTCTGGGGAATTAAGGATACTGGAAGGAAGTTTGGCTTTGGTAAGTTGGGACCATGTCTGTTGCAGTAAGAAAGCAGGTGGGTTGAATGTCACGGATGCTCAGGTGTAGAATGAAGTTGCGTTGATCAAACAGGTGTGAAGGACTGTAGGGAAAAAAGACAACCTGTGGATCAAGTGGATTCATGAACAATATATAAAAAGGAAGATTCTGGCAAATGCAACCAAAACAGAGCTCCACATGGCATTGGAGGCAACTATTGAAGATCAAAGACAAGATAAAAGATGAATTTGAAGGGTTAAAGTGGAAGCACTCCAAGACAGGTAAATACACTATTTCTGCAGGCTATAAATGGTTGATTGGAGAAACAGAAGTAATGCCAGTTGCTAGTTTTATCTGGTCTAGATTAGCTGTGCCTAAGCATTCATTTATACTCTACCTATTTTGGAGAAAGAGATAATTAACAAAAGATAGATTTGAAAGATTGAGCATGTTGAGTGGAGATCAAGAATGTATATTCGGTTTGTCAGAAAAAGAAACACTAGTCCACCTCTTTTTTGAATGTGGCTATGCTTCAGAGTTGCTAATGGCAATGTTGAGATGGTTGGGGGCAACGAATATCACAGTCTCAGGTTTGGTGGAGAACACAAGTGATGACAGCTTGTAGAGCTTCTAAATGCAAAAAAAAAAAAGAGATTTCAGGATGCCATGGCTGCTGTTGTATAGGAAAGGAATGGGAGGATCTTTACTGGGAAAAGTAGAACAGTAGATGTGGTCTTGAAGATGATCAAACAGGAACTGCAATGGAGGATTGAATGCTACTTAGGAGCAAAGGAGATAGCTAAATATCAGGGTTTGCTGAGAGTTTTGTTCTAGAAGGTGATGTACATATAGGGATTTTGTAATAGATAGATGGTAGATGAGGTGTTTATTTTGGTTTTAAATATGACTTGAAAAGTTGCAAATCACTATATTTACATTTTACCGAAAAAAGAAGTAATTACTTTCTTTCTTCATTTTCTTCATCATGATAAAACAACATTGTGAATCCCCCCTCCCCCAATAGTGAGCAAGGTTGATATTAGTTTAGATATTTGTTTTGTTTTAAAATCTTTGATCATTTTTGGGATAATTTATTTCGGCAGCCTGTTCAGTAAATAATAAGACAAAATAAAATAAGACAACAATAAAAGATACTTGTCTTTTTACATTTTCATTAGAATTATTTTCTAAAATAGAAGAATGTCTAGAGACTTTCAATTATAATCATAATTTAGTAGTTTTTTAATTTTTACATGTTGTGCAAGTAAATTATTTCATTAATGCTCTTCGGATTATAAATAAACACGACGATCTTGTTTATACCTTGCGGGAGAAATCTTTCTCCAAGGATGTGGACGTTTTGGTTATTCAGTGCATCTTAATTTTGGTATCACATGTGTTTAACACATATGTTTGGATCCTTCTTTTAGTGTGTGTTTTTAGGTATGTTTTTATATTAAAAATATAAAAAGAATGTATTGGAAATATAAAAAGGTATTTTGAGATGGGACGGTTATTATTATATTATTCTGAAAAAATCAGTGAAAAAAGGAAATAAACATATTAGTTTTAGTCCTAACAATTGTAATATTATATGCAACATGCTTGTACTTTTTTGTTTGAGTTATGCATTTC